TCCTTAATTGTCCAAATTGTTCAAGGGGTCGCTCTCCCTACACTATAAATACTCGGCGATTTTTTGCTTCCCATTTGTGGGAGACGCCATAAACATTATACACACATACACCTACGTACGAACATTCACCAAAATACAAACTCTTTACATTCACCAGTGGCGTAGCTAGAGTAAACGTCACCCGGGGCGGTCCACTCAAATGTCACCCCAATGACCCCGATTCACCGTATGGTGAATGGTTAGCTGTAGCTAAATTTTCATACATACTCTACCTCTACTTTACTCTACTGACCGGTACGTTACTGTTTACATGTATGATCCAAGACAAAATCCAATACCACAAAATAATCAGTTCAAATCAAAAGATTTTTAATAAAATGCAACTGTTCACTTTCAGAACAACTAAATACAAAACACGGCAATACACAAAATAATGACATTCGATACTATGGTCTTAGAATGAATGTTTTCTTGTTTTCATTGTGGCAAACTGGTCAATGACATCGTCAAAATCTGTTTGTCTTGTAAGCTCATTTTCAATGGACAGCACAGCCAGATCCGACAGTCTCGATTGGCTCATGGTTGACGTAATTTTCTGTTGTTAATTTTCCGGTGTCTAATTTTCCATTGCATCATTTTCTGGGTGCCATTTAATTATCAATGATGTTTGAAAGTATTTTTCTTGACAAAAATGTACTATTTAATTTTTAAGCATTTTTCGGAACATTGTAAATCAACTACATTCTTTTAAAGGTTACCTAGAGAATTTATGCAAAGTTTATTTTTTTCTTTGTACAAGTATAATAAATTTACATCGTATTTTGATGTTATTATGATTTTAGTTTTAGTGATAATTTAAAAACAATAAATATTTATCATTAGTACCAATAATGGAAAATTAAGTTAAAAATTTAAAAGAATCGTTTTTGGAATCGGAAAATAGGCACAAATTTTTCCAATTCCGATACCCCAAAAAGTTCCGATTTTTCCGATTCTCGATTCCGATTAATCGTTCCAACACTAGTAGATATATTCAAAAGTATATCGCTCACTCAATGGAAAATTGTATCTCAGCGAATTGATACACAGGCAAGACTGAAATTGTTGCACTTTTGGCTTCGTATTTCGCTTTGTTGTTATTAATGATGCAGAGTTAAAACATCATATCATCCGATAAAATGTAACAACGATGTCTCTTGTTAGTAACCAAGATTGTAGCAACTGAAACACATGAAAGCTGAAAACATTGCTATTTTTCCTACTCACAAATTTCCCGACAATTTATTAGAAAATTACTGACGGGGGGACAAAACTGGGGGGTCATAAATTATTTCTGCGGGGTCATATACCCGCCTGCGAAACCCTGTGTCTCATAGGATGTGTGTCTTTCTGTGGTAGACCAGTTACCATCCAAGGCTATAGAACCCGGTTTGTTCTACTATTTACCCATAGCTGGGAGGAGAAGATGTGTGTGCCGTGTAGCGATTATCAGCACCGAAAGGATTAGTGTGTCGAGTTCAGAATTCATCCGAGGCCGATGAGATTGTGCCTTGCATAAATACTCTTGGAAAGGCATGAATCCATCTTTTCTCTTCCCAGCTAGGGGTTAATGGGATTAGGCTGGTATAGGCTGCAAGCTCAGGCTCAGTGTCAGGTTATCCTTCAGGCTAGTATAGGTTGCAGATCAGAGCCGGATTATCCTTTTGACTAGTATAAGTTGCAGCCTAGGGCCCAGGACCGGATTATCCTTTAGGCTAGTATAAGCTGCAGCTCAGGCCAGATTATCCCTTCGGCTAGTATAGGTTGCAGCCCAGGGCCGGATTAACCTTTAGGCTAGTAGAGGTTGCAGCCTAGGGCCGGATTATCTATTAGGCTAGTATAGGCTGCAGTCTAATGTCCAAGACCGGATTATCCTTTAGGCTAATATAGGCTGCAGTCTTGGGTCTCTCAAGCTTTTATAAAGCAATGATTTTAATTTTCTAGATGTTATAACTTCTAAATAGTTTCATAAACTGAAATGATATCAATATGAAAAACTCATGACTTTTGATTTTTTTATTGTTATAATGTTAGTTATAAAAATCTGTTCTTTTTACTACGGTTGTGTTGAAATATGTGTTAATTCAGTTTGCAATAAATAGTAAAATAGTGATATTTCTTAAAGAATATTGTTATTGGCAAACAAAAGATAGCTATTCTAGTTTATTTAAAGTATTTTCAATAAGTTTATTTCAAGCCATGTAAATGTTGCTAAAATATATCGAGTGAAAAAAATTCAAGACGGGGGTGGGGGTGAATTAGAGAGTGGCTTCATCTCAAGAGAGGGCATAATTTCATTAGCCTAGGATCCCTAAAGGTCATAATCTGGTTCTTCACATATGTAAATTAAACGTTGTGATGATGTCGTCCTATGCTCCAGAGCGTGGGTGGCCAAACTTGTTTAAAGCAAGAGACACATGCAATAAAGTTCAGATATTTGAGAGCCGTAAGCATCAACAAAATTTACACATACGTTTTTGTTACATACACATTTTTTTTTTACAAAATTTTTATATAAATTTTAAGAAATGCATGTATGTAATATTTCTTCATGCATGCAATTTTTGAAAGTGTTAATTTGTATCGGTTTCAGGAATCACAAAGTACATATATACATACCAAATCTTGACAAAATCAAAACTTGTATCCGAAATGTATCAATGGGGTCTGCACAGTTCAACGTTTTGTGTTACACTGCATTAATGTACATCCTTAATCCCCTTAATCCCATTAATCTCCTTACCCATGACCTCAGTTTTCTGACATTCCTCTGTAATGTTTGCTGACCAGAAATATCTTTAATCCTTCATCATTCCTTCCCCCAGCAGTAAAGAAAAATCTAGCATTAAAATTAGGATTTAAATTTTTAAATATTTTTACTAACCATGAACATTAAACGTACGTTTTAAACCAATGGGGTTTCAATTCATACCCATTAAATGATAATAAACCTGTAAATTTTTCTTATCTATCTTTTATATTAACTGATGAAAAAAGGAGATCAGCCAGTATATTTCCACGAGCCGCATATTAAAGGTCAAAGGTCGCATATTAAAGGTCAAAGAGCGGCATGTTGGCCTCCCCAGCTCCAGAGGATAGTCTATATAACATAAAATTGTTTACATAGCAAGGTAGACAAGGTTATTTGGTCTTAGTTGATAACTAGTCTCGGAAAACGACAGTTCTGAATTCAAAGCCTGCTAGACATGAGGCACGCAACTCAACTCCGGAAAAGTCTACTTGATACAGAAGGCTTCAATATGGATATTTTATTCTTTTATGTGCCCTGTTCATTAAGGACGTGAGTGATCATGGATCTCCACGACTTATTCTTTGTAGTCTGTGGAGAGCAACTTACAGCGTTTATAGCTTGTGGAGAATTATCTCGTAGGTCCAAGAGGGCTAGAGTAGCGTAGCCTATATGTGCAAGCAAATTGCTAGCGAGGCAGACTGTTCGAGCACCGGCACTGGAATGACGAGGCGCATGCGTCAATGAGCCAGATCGAGGCTGGCAGCGTGATCAATATGCAAATTCTATGGCTCGGCAAGAACGTAAAAAAAAAAGGGCGAGTTCTTGTTTAATCGGCAGAAACAATTTTGTGCATTCAGCGTAGTTCACGTCGGTGCATACAGAACCAGAATTCATTGCGAGGGTGATTCCGGTGTACGTGCTATAGAATCCCTGCTTTCCTGCTACATAGCTAAGTGCAGAAATTACGTTATAATGTTTATCTGCAATTGGATTACGTACAGGCAACTAGATCCCTACGTCAGTTTAAACGATGCTGATGATTGGGCATTGACATCGGCACAGTGTGAGATATAATGATCCAGTTGCCCATGTGGTGGCACATATGTCGTTTTTGTAGGAAGTGATTTTCCTGAGAACTGTGCTTCGCAATTAAATTAATATGGCTATTTACACTATTTATATTCTGACTATTGTCCTTATCCTTATTGTTGACAATGTGCCATCCGACCTTCCACAAGTCGCCCAGACATAGTGATCACAGGTGAACGAAAATGAGTTACATACGACAATGTTCAACGTAAAAGCCAATATATACCTACAACCGACCCCAAAAGCTGAACTCCCTGGAAGAAAGGTAGTGTTGTGCGTGTGATGGTCTTGTTGGTGTATTATTCATTTATAGTTATTAAAATGCAATGAAACACTAAATGCACATTTATACGTGCGAGAGTTGCAATGTGTCTATAAAGATTGGAACAAAAAATCGTTCTGTTGTTGTTCTCTATGACAACGCGAGAATGTATGCAGTAAAAATAAAACACAGGAAACAAATGTTCGGAACTCGGTTGGTCTGTTCTACTTCAGCCATCATACTCACCTGACCTTCCACCAACCGATTATTACGTTTTCCGATCGCGGCAAAACGCTTTGATGAGGAAAAGTTTCTCTAATGAAAACCAGATTCAAGAGTTTATCGAAAAACTTTTTCTCGTCAAAACCCGCGAAATTTCGTTCAAAGGGTATCGAAGAGCTGGCTGATAAGTGGCAACAAGTCATTGCAAGTAATGGTGAATATTATAATTTAATAAAATGTAAATGTAATTTATTTTTTGAAGAATAAAGTCGATAAACACAAACAGAAATCATATATATTTTTGATCAGAAAGCATAATTGATTTTGTAATTCGGGATGTTCAGGGATTGGACGGATACTAGACTCTGATTCTTGATAATAAAATATATCGGCCATGCATAGAAACGAACAAAAAAAAGCGTATATTTTCTATCAAAAATATCTAATTAATTCTAGTTTGGAAGGATTGGGGATTGGACAGATACTACGCTTTGATCCTAGATAATAAAAAAAAAGCCAAATGGTCATACATACAAACAGAATGGTATACATTTTCGATGCGAGAGAAGAGCAGATTCAAGCTTGTACTGGTTAAGGATCAAGCAGATACTACACTTTGATCCTAGGTAATAAAACTTAGTGATCATACATAGAAACAAGTAGAAATGTTATAGATAATAAGTTAATGAACCTTACCTCTTGGATTCCATCCGGTATTGTGTAGTTGATAACGATTGTCCCATTCGCGGTCTCGTAACCAGGGAGTTTTAGTTTATGCTCCAGAGTGACACTCATCTTACCGTTCTTCGGCTGATCTCCAGTGAGGGGTGCGTAAACAGTACCACAGATCGGACAGATAGGTTTCCTCTTTGTGATCTCCCGGTAACATCGCTTGCATAGGCTGTGGCCGCAGCACAGCTCCTCCTTCTGCACCATCTTCTCCTTGCAAACAGTACACACCTCCCGCTCCATTTCAAACAGAGCGGCAATGTGATTGGTCGCTCGCATATCGTAGTCGACATCTTTCTTGCCCTTTTCATTTTCACTCTTGCTTTTCTCGCCGTCCTTCTTCAGCCTTTCGCCTTCCTTCCGCAATGTCTTCTCGCTCTCCTTCTTGTTCTTCTCACTGCGCAGGCTCCCGCTTTTCGACTCCTTCTCCTGCCCACCACTGCTGCTGGTGCCTCCGCCCATGTCTTTTGGTGGCTGGAACCCGGATCTTGGAGTCGATGAGTCTGTAGAATGGACCTTTTGAGTGGTGCTCAGTAGTGCTTGTTTCACGGACGTGGCCTGTTGACTCTTTGACGGTGTCCCTGAGGCAGAGCTGGATGCGGACTTAGATCCTTTAGCCGCGTCTTTGGATCCCTTTCCGACATCGGAGGAGGAGATCCCATTGTTTTTCCCTTCCTTCTCGAGTTGACACGAGCTGGATCTAGCCAGCCTTGCCCCCACACGCACGTCCATATCACTTCCACCAACAACACTTGATTGGATTCGGTTTCGCACAATTGAACCCACAGAGCTTGACCTCTTACGATCCAGGTTCGTCTCGCGGATGGCACCCAGCGTCGTCTTCGTTTGGTGGATTAGGGCTGATAGGCAAGAAGTAATCCCGTCGGGACTTTCCTCGTCGATTTTGTACTCGCCTTTTTTGCGGAAGTTCAAAGAGTTCGACTTTTGGTTGCAACCCGTTTTTGTTTCGTTTTTCGCCAGACAGCCATTTTCTAGCTGGCACATCGCCTGAGTGTAAGAAGGACTTCGTCTTGGAGAGCTCAAAGCCATCACTTTGTTAGCCTCGGCTGCTTCCGGTGGCTCCAACTGTGAATCTTTCTCAAAGTTTGACTTTTTAGCTTTTGTATCTGAACACTTTGTCTCGGAAGACGATTTTTTTGTCGGTCTCACTTTCTTTGTCTGTTTTTTGTACGAGTACTTGTAACGCTCAAGGGCAGCTTCCGTCACTCGTTTTGAGTCCATAGAGTTTAACTGGTTAAGAATGATAATGGCAAAGGTGACACTGTCGCGGTCATTGATAACAAGACGAATATCTTTGAGAAGCTTTGGGGTGTTTTCATCGCTCGTGTATATCAACAGGGCATCGTAGAAGGCGTTAATGCTCAGATCAAAGTCAACACCGAATGAACCTGCGTACCACCAATGGGAGAAGGAAAAAAAAGAAGAGAATGCATTAGAGAAAGAGAGAAACAATACAAGAAGAATATTTCAATTAATTTGATCTTTAAGAGGTTTTGAAGGAAAAAAACACGTAGAAGAAAAGACTATAGTCAATGTTCAAATGATATAACAATGCAAAAAGAACAACATTTTGTTAACAATGCTCTAAATATTCACAGCTTCCCCCTCCAACACACACACACACACACACACACACACACACACACATACACATATATATAATACATACGAAAATGTCTGCGTCACACTTTTTCAATTAAAGGGACACAACTCTCTAACTTTCAATTGCTTTATCTTCTATATAATAAATGTGAATGTCACTGTGTCACTGTGTCACACTTTTTTCACTTTACTCCTAGAGGCCGTAGCCCAACATATCACACCATTTTGGAATCAAGCCGACTCCATAAGCAAATTCAAAACATTCCAGACCCGCAATCCTGAAATTTTGGATTCCTAAGTTCCATTACTGCGATTGATTTCGGGGATTTTTTTACGTGATTTTTTGTGACAATTTTTTTGTATAATAACAATTTTTCTAACTCTGAAATAAATTTTGGAATAATCAAAATTAATTGCAAAATCCAGCGAAATTCACCCATGAAATAATTGTTTGTATGGAAAGTAAGGATCTACGTACATCAAATTGTTTTTAAATTAAGTGGTGACGGAAGAATTATTGTTGAACATTTAAAAGGTAAGCTTAAATATTAATATTTAAATGCAGCGATCAATTTTGAGTTTTCTATAGTTTATTGTTGCCTATTGCATCTACTCCTCCCTACCTATTGTGATGATGGCTCAATCAAGAGCCCTCCGCAGGAGCTACTTAAAGGTCACCCGATCGGCTGATCTTCTAATTTTTAAAATTTATTTAAACAAAGTAACTAATAATAACAAAAACAAAATGTCCTTAGCAACTGGAAGAATTTAAAGAATGCTATTTTCATACTGTTAACTGAAAATTACGTCAATTACTGTCACGTGTGGAGATATTGTTATTATTGCTGTGTTGACGGATTTTACGATATTGTTGTGTACGTTTGTTTGGGAGAGTAGAAATTTTCATAAGAAAGGTGAAATAGGGAAAAAGCCTGGGTGTAGATTAATATTTTCCCTATTTCACCTTTCTTAAGAAAATATAAAGTCCACATTGGACAAAACGCGTCAGCAACTACTACAGTTTTCCTATTGTCATTTATATTTATAAATATTGGCTTTTCTACAGGTTAACTCTGAGAAATTTTCATATATATATATATATATATATATATATATATATATTATCGTAGATTTTGGTTACTGATGATGGAAGGAGAACAGAAGTGCCTGGCTCAATTAAGTATGATGGCAATATAGTAACAATTATATTTTTCATTTTAGTATAATATATTACTGTATCTGATGGTATACAAGATCCTCTTCTTTACCAACCGAAATGATTCAAATATATTACTCAGTACTTATATAAGATGTTGCAGTATCTGTATTAATAATTTTAATCAATGTATTTTTGGTTACATTCCAGAAGTTTTGAGATTGTTTTCAGAGAGAGAGGGGGGGGAGGGAGAGGGAGAGAGGGGGGATTTATCAATTTTGAAGAAATACAAAACTTCAAACCCCTTCAAAGTTGGATCACTTGACTTCAATGCACATCTTATTGCAGAGCTCCAGCCACTTCGTGAAGGCCCCCATAGAAGTCATCTAAAGTGAAAGTGTCCAGGACCCTTGTCACAACCTCCGTCATCTTATCAGTACCTTCAAAACAACTGCCCCTGAGATTCTCCTTCAGCTTGGGGTTACAAGCAAAAGTTGCAGGGAGCAAGGTATTGACTCTAGGGAGTGTGAGGTACAGTTTTGATGTTCTCTCAACCTAAAACGTTATTGCATAACGAGCTTCCAAATTGTCTTCACATCCTGATTGCATTCTGCAAACCAGTCAGCTGTGACTAGCAATGTCTAGTAGGGTGTGTTCAAAGGGCCGTTACAACAGCTGTCTCCTTCAATCTAGAATAACAAATGTTGGCAGGTCAGCTTATTAGATGACTAGTAATGACCAAAACTTCTGGAATCTCACTCGTAGTTTAAAGTTTTGGGATAACCTAAAACACACCAACTTATTCAGTAAAAAAAAAAAGATGCCATGCTCTCTTGGCGAAGATTGTAGAATGATTTCCCGTTGCTTTTTCCAATGGTTTTGAATTCAGACTTTTCCTTCTCTTAGACTGGTTGACACTTAAGGCTAGAGAGTCCAGTCTACTTTGCTATTTAACTCATAGCTTGGGGGGGAGAAGAGATCGGTCCATGCCTTTCTTTAGGGCATTTGACTTTTTATACACTGCAATTCACCCAATACAAGGCTCGAGAGTCCCTCGAGGTATAGGATTACTGTTAAAATGGTAATTATGAATGAGGTGTGTGATATGAATGAAAAAGAATGAAGTCGGAAGTGAAGATTATAGGAATAAGGGGGAGAGATAATGATTGGCCTTCGATTTAAAAAGGTCATGATTGAAGTGTCCAGGTAAGCACACATGCGGGAGTATGTTTTACAAAGTAGCAGTAAATGGGGAAAAAGCTGTCTGACAGGAAAGTTCTTCTTACATTTGGAACATGAGAGAAATGAGATGACTCGACTTCTTGGAAGTGACGTGGTATGTCGGAGCAGTAAAGGCCTAAACTGGTGAAATTAAAGAATAGAGCTCATATGAACATTTGCCATGGAGATAGCGATAGAGTAGCAAAAGGCTTGCAATGTTGCATCTGTCGGAAAGAAGCTACAGATTGAAGAATAAGTCCACAAGAAAATTCCACAATAAGTCCATGAAGAGAGTTCCATGAAGAAGTGTGATAAAAGAAGGAAAGTTGGAAATAAATTTGAGAATAATCGAAACTAATTGCGAAATCCATCGGAAGTCACCCATGAAATAAAAATAATTGTTTGTATGGAACGTAAGGACCTACATACATCAAATTGTCTTTAAATTAAATGGCAGCAGAAAAATTATTGTTGAACTTTTAAAAGGTAAGCTTAAATAATAATGCAATACTTAAATGCAGTGATCAATTTTGAGTTTTTTTATGTAGTTTATTGTTGCCTATCACATCTACTCCTCCCTAGCCATTGTGATGAAAGCCCAATCAAAAGCCATCCACATGAGCTAGCTTAAATACTACCAGATAAAGTGGCTTTTAAGCTAGTAATGAATCAGTACTGAAAATTTTGTTTGAATTGAGTGAGTCCCTGATTTTTGGCAAATATTTTAAAACACTGCGTAGGGAGTTTTTTTTGCTTTTATTTTGGAAAAAAAAGTATCCATTTTGGTGATACCTAGTTTTAACAGAGGATGGAAAATGTGACACTGAAAACCAAAATCACATTGGAATAGCAAAAAATGACTTCCAAACGCTAAACAAAGTATTAAGAAACAGGAAAGTTTTATTATTTAACAAAGAAAAGAGTGTTGAACTGTTATATAATAGCGGTCCTCCTAATCTAGTTGTGCTTTTCTCGCATTTCCCACCTGTGGAATTCCCTTGTGATCTCTTGCTTCACTGATAACTAAAATCTTAAAAAATAAATACAACGTCAATCGCCATCTCCTGCCTTCTTGAACCCTGTTCATTTTTTGTCCTTTAGTTGCTCACACTTTTGGCCTTGTACCACATCTAACCTATGCTTAAAAATCAACGGTTAGTAAACTTGTCTCGCATGATCAATTACGACTGAGTAGTGGGTTCGATCCTCACTGAGTGCCCCATATTTTCGGCCTTGTGTCACAACTTGTCAAAAACAAAAAAATGAACAGTCCAAAATGTGAAGTATGAATTGTAAACATAAAAAACAAGCAAACATTTAGATATCTGGGAAGTGTTTTTTTTTTTTACTAGTACCATGGATTTCCTAAAAAAAAGGAAAAGGAAAAACGCATTTTAAATCATTTTTAAAATGAATTCTTTGAACTTAAATTTCGGTTCAGTTTGAAAGATAATAGACTAAAAAATCTAATTCGAATTAAAAGAAAAATTAATTCCTGTATATAACTGAACTTTTTAGGCATTTTTAAAACATTGATTTTGATTTTTTTTTTCGTCGATGTTTACATATATTTGAAAGTTAACTTTCTTCTTAAATTAAGTACAAAAAAATCGCTTTACGGAAGCGCGTACTAATTTCTACAAGGAATTACTGTGAAGGAAGTAAATAGGCCCAAATTGTATACGTCCACCAACAAAAGTCAGCACTGAATTACTTATCACTAAGCCGGTAATGGCTGACGAAAGACCAGGAAAAATCCCGATTTTTTTCGGGTCGTTAACATACAAAAAGATAGGTTTCGTCAATATCTTGTAGACTCGTCCTTTTCTACCTATCACCCCTAGTAACAGAACAGTCTATACCTTACGCCTACGTACGAAAAACTTCGACCAATAAAAAACCGTACTAGGCGAATCAACAAATCTCATTGGTTAACGACACAATAATCTGAAAGTTTCACGTGCAAAACAAAATTGCGCCAAAACTTCTTTGAGCCGATTTTGGACTTTCAAAAACATAAAAGAAAGAGACTGACCAAAAGAGTCAGAGTCGAACATCCACAGAGAAATTGCCAACATATTCCACGTCACACGAAATCACTACTTTACCGCACAAAAGTACATCAACGCTAACTCACTTGCAATTTAAACTCGACCAACTCTGTGGACATCAAATCGCAAACCTAAAACAACTTTGCTTATCCAAAGTGAACTATATTCACTACATTATTAAGTAAAAATCA